TCCTATAAAGAGTCTCTCAGTGTACCCTACCTCTTGATCCACTCTGCCTGCGATTCTCTTTTTTCCCTTAATATAGGCCATCTATATGAGAAATTATATCCAACCTTCTTTGCCTCATTTCTGTTGTGCTCTTTTTCTGTCATTTTGTCTGTTTGTCTTTTTCATTTCACTTTCTGCTTCATTCATTGTGGGCTCTCTGCCATTGTTTCTGGTATTCTGGTACTTTTCTCTCTCTTTAGAATGTCCTTCAGTATTTTCTGTAGAGTTGGATTGGTGGTTGCGAATTCCACCCAGTTCCTCTTTATCTTGGAAGCACCTTGTTTCTTAATTTCTACAGACAATTGTTCAGGACATATCAATCCTGGAAGGAGGTTACTGTCTTTCAAGGCTTAGATTATTTCGCCCCACGCTCTTCTCGATTTGATGGTTTGTGCTGAGAAGTCTGCTGTAATTCTGATGGGTGTTCCCTTGTAAGTGATTTGTTTCTTGCCTCTGACAGCTTTTAATATTGTGTTCTTACATTGGATTTTTGGAATCTTGATTATTACATGCCTAAGTGTAGTTCTGTTTTGATTCTAGGTGGCTGGAGTTCTGTATGCCTCATACATCTGAGCACCTTTCCCTTTTCCTATGTTTGGGAAGTTTTCCCTCATTATTTCTATGAATAGCCTTTGTAGTTTCTTTGTTTTTATCCCTGCTTCTTCTCTCACATTCTTTATTCTTAAGTTATAGATTCTTTTGTCATCTTCTAGCCTTTGTATTGTTACTGCTTGTTTCCTTGTTATTTTAAACAGTTTTTCCTTTCACGCTCCCACATTACAAATCTGTCCTCCAGTTCAGATAATCTATCCTTAGTTTCTTTCAAGCTGTTATGCCAGCTTTAATAGAGTTTTTAGTTTCCTAGTAATCTCTTTGAACCTGCTTCATGTATTCTATGTTTTCTCTATTTTTTCCATCAAACAATTCTCCCCTTTTTTTCTGTTCTTCCATTCCACCATCTGTTTTTTCTTGGGAGGTGCTTAGCATTTCTTTAACTGTTCTACTTATATCTTGCTTTACTTGGTTAAATACTTCACTTTTGAACTCGTCTATGAGGTCCCAGAGATATTGCTTTATGTCTATTGGTGCCTGCCTGATATTGCATGTTTTTTGTCCTCATTCTCCTTTGCATTTACCTTTCCTGAATCAGTGTTCTCAGGACTGGGGACCGAGGACTCTTTCTTGTTGCCTTCTCTTCTCATATTTTTTGTTCCTTCCATACAGGCATGTAGAGGAGGCCCAGTTTCTTTGTCGGTTACAGTTTGTTTGAATCACACTGGCTAGGTGTTCCCACCTACTGCAGTGTACTAGGAAGACACAGACCGGGGCAGCCTATGCTGGGCCTGCCCCTCCAGGTCAGTCAATCTGCTGAAGGCTTCACTGCATTAGGGTGCACTGCCAGGCACAGGGACCTGGTTTGGGCTAGCCTACTGGGTCTTAGTCTGCGGCATCACCCAGGTGAAGTGCTCCCCACCAATCCCACTTGAGAATGGAATATGTGATTGAAGTCACTGCAGTGCCCTGTTCTGGCCAGTCTTTAGCTATTTCATTTGTAGCACCGGAATTGCATTTCCGATTGTTTTCTCTCAGCTTAGTTCATTCCTGGGTCGGCAGTGTATATCTCCCTCTGCTCAGGACTTCCCACACCGCACCATATCTGGAATCTAAGCTGGCTATCTCAGAGAGCCTCTGTAGCTGCTATCTATCCACCATCTTCTCTGCTCCCTCCATATTTTTAAGCTTTGTCTGGTCCTCATGACCTGTAAGATTTTTCTTTCAGTCTTTCTTTTGAAAGGAAGGTAGAAAGCTGGAATGGTAGAGCATTCCTATAAACCAAGCTCTTGGGAGGCTGAGGCAGGAGGATCACTGCAAGTTTGAGACCAGTCTGGACTAAAAAGTGAGCTCAAGGCCAGTCTGAACAGCATATCAAGACTTCTCAGTGCTGGAACAGCCTTGTTTAGGTAGATTCCTTAGAACTCTCTGTTCTCAGGACTGGTCTTGCTTTAGCTCTACATGCATGATCAGTCTCTGGCTTCAGTGGCTCCCTAGTGGACATTCTTGGAGCTGACTGGCTCTGCTGTCCCACTGTGCCCGTATCATTTACAGGGCTCATGGAAAGACAAGGAGCCATCCCATGGCTCTGATCTCTCAAACTCACTCTTTCTGGAAACTGAGTCTTGGGAAAACCCTGATGAACTTGAACTGGTGTTGGCAGCAGGCTGGCAAAAGAAACCCAGTAAGTACAACCACCACCCAGGAAGACATACGCACGCATCACTAACACAGTGGGACTCAACACCACAGGTGAGGAACAGGGACCTTCCCACCCCCCACAGCACTGCTACGAGCGAGGCTGAAGGTGCTACCCGCCAAGCCCCTGACCTGGCTCTAACCTAACCCTATGGCTCTGCAATGTCTTGTTTTCTTCAAAGTAGGTGTTAATGCCATCACACATGATAAAATCAATTCTTATAAACTCTTTAGGAAAAATTCTAAGCATGTATAAGCCTATATATGTACATCTATCCTTTCTGTATTAGAGGGAAAAACGAAACAAAAACAAGTTACAAGAAAAACAAGAAACAAAAGAGACAAACAAATAACAACAGCAAAGAGCCCAAAATAATGACAAGATAGGCCCTCAAAACAAGGTAGTAAGCACATAAGTAACTAAGGTTGATTGGTTGATTCCCTATTCTTAAGGAAAGTTTGTGATTTAGTTCTTCAGATTTTTCTACTTTTTGATTACTGAGAATAGAAAAATCTATTTAGATGCTTCCTTAAAGGCTTATTAGATACTGTGTTTGGCCTTTGATGGGTAATCATACATAGCTTTTCATCGTTTCAGTGTATCATTTCTCACTGACAATAGACATTTCATTTTAATGGTTGTTATAATTACTGTACTAATTCCCAAAACACTGCTCATCTTTCTGTTACCGGGGCAAAATACCTCAAAGAAACTAACTTCAAGGAGAAAAAGTCTATTTTGGTTCACAGTTTTGGAGGTTTCAGTTCATGGTAACTTAGTTCCATTGTTTCTGGGCCTTATGGTGGAAGAACACAGAACATCTCATGGTAGCCAGGATGTAAAGACAGAGAAGAAAGGAAGAATCAAGGATAAGATAAAAACCTTGAAGAGTATGCCCTTTGGACCTATCTTTTTTCACTAAGTTCTACCTCCTAAAGTTTCCATCATCTTCCAATATCAAGTTAAATTATGAATCTATTAACAGATCCCCCATGACCCAATCACTACTCAAAAGGTCTGCTTTTTAACATTGCTGCATTGGGACCAACTCTTCAACCCAAGAACTTTTAGGGACACTTTAGAACAAAAATATTTTTCAAATGATTGATACATATAGCCAACAAGTATAGTTCTTTCCTCTGGATTCCATCTTAACTCACCACTTATGAACATTGTACTCTACGTTGTTCTACAGTCTACCTCTCACCATCTGCTTTCTCAGTCAACTCTGAGTAACAATAATCACTAATTGAGTTGCCTGGTAAGGATACTAAGACAGGGATTAGTATTCAGGTCATTTATATATGACAGAAATCGGCACACTTGAGTGCTCTTCACACCAACATCTGTGTGAAGAAATAAGAATAGAAGGATACAGATTTGGAAAAGAGAATAGTTGGGGTGCAGCACAGTAACAGCAATGTCCACCTGACAAAGAGTTTTGAAGCTGACCTTCACAGGAAAAAAGACCTCCACCTTGAGCAGTCATTATATCTAAACTGCACCAGAGAAATGAGCCTAATCTGGGGTGAGGTAGTTCTATTTAGCTAAGGTCACTATTCACAATGGTCACGTTTTCAGAGCACCTTCATTGGATAAACTACCTGAAATATTTCCCCTCCCCATTCTACTCCTTAATTACCATATAATCATTCTTGTTATTTTTCTAATAACTTTACTATGTATTGTAATTATCTTGTTTAATTGCTAATATACTTTTAATCATGCTAGAAAGTAAGTGCCTTATCTTATTTTGTTTTTTTACTGTTATATCCTCATTATAATGAGTGAATGAATAGCACACGAGGTTGTTGGTTCTTCTGAACATTGTCATGATCCTGAATATGCAAGTTTGAGTGCAGTATGGGGAGAACTGAAATGCTCTGGACATTAGATGTTTTTGGGGAAAATCAGGTAAGAAGCACATAGACAAACAGAACATGAAGATAAATAAAACTGTGGAAATGGTTGTAGTCCATATTTTCCTTGGAATAACTCCATCCAGACTCAATTTATATTGTAGCTTATTAATTAATATTCACAAAGTAGTTGATATAGATGAATTTCTTGAGAACATCAGGGAAAAATAAGTTTTGCATTTGAGTGGATGTAAACCAAAAGAGAGGCATTACATAGCATAATGAAGGCAGAGAGGACCACAAGATTATTGTCCCCCTCCCTATAGCCAAGTTAGTCAGCTTCTCAAGGAAGGCCTTTGTTATCTCCTAACTGTGGAGTAAGAACTCAGATAGAGCTTAAGTAGATCTTTGAGAGGTAAGGAAATCTCTGAAAATATGAGTTGTCCAAACACTACATTCCTGCAGATGATCCAGTTAAACCAAGTGACCCAAGTGTTGCCAGGCAGTGGCAATTATAAGTTGATAAATTCAAAACATTTGTGAACAAAATGTAATATTCACATATTCAAGTCATCAAGCTCCACTAAACACTATACTTTAAAGTGAAAATCTATACAGAATATACCATCAGAGTTTATAGAGAATCTGATTCTATTCTGGGGAAAGGAGAAAAATAGGATTTAAAAAATTTTTGTAATATATAAATTTGAGTTTTACCAAAGGAACAAAACATGATCTCTGACCTTTTCTTAGCATCTAATCCTTTTTTTTAGTACTTCAGTAATGAATATTTACAATGAATGTAAATTGAACTTTAGTACTATTAAGAAAAAAAGTCTGTGAAACACTACCTTGTGCAAATGTTTGATCTGGATACCTGCCACCAAGTCAGTAGGCTCATCTTCAAAATATTGGCTTTGAATTGTCGTCTCATATTGAATTGTTTCACCTTTTATTGAATGTTTTTTTCCAGACCAGTAAGAATGCTGAGAAAGGAATAAAAATATTATCCCTCAATGGTAATGAAAAGGAAACATTAGAAAATACTTTGAACTGATAGTGTTTATACTGAGATGAAGTACAAAAGAATTTCTTGGGATTGAATCTTGGAGCTAAACTGGTTAATCCCCAGGGGATGAAAGCAGATTACAGTTAAGCCATAACTATTCAAGAAGGATAAAGAGAAAACACTCCAAAATGGGGTCATAGTGAAAGTCATTGATTTTTATCACTCTGTCAGTTTTTCTTCTCTGAGTAATATATAAGCCAAACACAATATGAGAAAAATAGTGAGAAAAGAGGAAAAGATGTTTATATTCTCCATTTTTTCTATGGTTTTGACTCTAAGAAGTATAGGCAGCCAAGGAAATAAAGCAGGCAGTGAGTGCCCAGATATAACTAAACCTTCTTTGTTAGGAGGACCCTCATTTATTAGTTTCTATATGCCAGAATGTAAACATTTATGAATATTTTCCTGCAAAAGTGATGGATTATTCACAATTTGTTTAATTTTGGGTGTAAGACTATGACCTATAGATATACATATAGACATAGTATGATTAAAATGTATGGTGAATTTTTAAAATTTAAAGAAGTATTACAGTAAAAAACAATGATTTCCCTCAAAATACTCTCTCCCTTTTCTTTGAATACATATATCCTATTATCCCCACCACTTTCTGAAGCAGTTCTGTAGTTATTTTTTCATGAGTCTTTATGAGAAATGATTAAAAAAATAAGGTGAATGCTGCCTCCAAGTACCATCCAACAGAAAGGCAGGACCATAAAAACATTACAGTGTATATTTATGACCTTATTCACTGGATCTGTCAGTGTGCAATTTTTGGCTCTTCCTAAAAGTCAAAATGACCAGAAAAAAATGTTTTGAAGCAATTCAGACATTAAGGTGGCTGCAACAGTACAACTAGTGACACTTCTGAAAGAGAACTTCCAGAATTGCTTTAGAAAGTGGCAAGTACAATGATGTAAGTACATTGGAAGTGAGGAGGAACACTCTAAAGGGGATTAATGCATAAATGTATATTTTACTGTAATATATTTTTCTAAAAAATTTTTAAACATTTACCATATTTTTTGATAACACTTTGTCTATATATAACTATTATTATATATGTTTGAGAGTTTAGTGTATATTAGGAAAAGGCTTGTGAATTAGTATTGCTGGAGTACAGATAAGAATCATTGTTTCATCTGATCTCTTGATTTGATTACAATGTAAAACTAATCTATGATGGTTTTAAAATATGTTATAAAATAAATTAATAAGGACTATATTAATAACCAGCACTAGAACTCACCCTCATGAAAAAGTTCCATGGTTTGGGCACACCATATTTCCCTGGAAAGACAGCTTCTATATACCAGGCCACAAGACCATACAAGAAAGAGTCAAGTAAAAGCATTCCCATCACATAAGCAAATAAAAAATTGTCAGGACCCTTTGATGAGAAGATGTTACTCCATTTAATTCCTGTTTCTAAGACATAACAGGAAACATTTAATTAGGTGGTGTTATGGTTGATACAGTGTGTCAACTTGAGCAGTTTACAAGTTTAACTAAGTGACTGGGGTGGGGAGCTCTCATTTTGTAAACATCCTGGGCCTGTGCCAGAGGAGGGCAGGGAGACAGTATGAAAGCCACATCTATCCCAAGGGGAAGCCTGCCTACAGTATAAGGGAGGAAAGGAAGCTTGTTCTCTCTTTTTCACTCTTGTTGTTTTTTCTGTCTTCTGCCACCTTGAATTGTTGCCTCTGGGCTCTTACACCCTACTTTGGAGCCAGATGATTATGGTCTGAAACATCCACAAAACGCAAGCTAAATAAACCTTTTAAAAAATGGGTACACTTATGAGTTAAGCTGATAGCACCTCTCTTTCTACTCGTCATGTTAAATGTTCACTGGAATGTACAGTTTTGGGAAAATAATCACTGCAAGATAGGGATCGAAGCTGACTACAGGATAGAATGCTAGAAGATTTTTTTATTTGCATAGACCCTGCACTGACAGAAAAAGGGAAGAGGTTATTAAAAGAAGATCATATCACTTCCTGCCCTACTACTTGATAGAAGATGGCAACTCTAAAAGAAGAAGGAAGAAGCCTTACCATGTTTACATTAAATTTTTAGAAAGAATACTATAGGTATTGGTATAAAGTAGAATAAGTTTTTAAAATGCAATTTAGCAACATATGTCAGAATTAAAAATGTCACTATCCAATAAGACAGCAAAGATATATCCATTAGCATGCAGCAAAATTTACAAGGAAAACACTCACTCATTTTTTCTGCCTCAACTAGAAATTTAAATCCCATTGCCATGGCAACATTAAAGCTGAGGCAGTATCTCATCTTCTGCTGGAATCGCAGCTTCTCATAGCCAGTCAGTAATAAAGTATATGGAATATACATGATTAAAAAAATGAAACTTCCAAAAAAAACAGCAACAGTGGCTGAAAATGAGAAAAAAGAGAGGGCCTATTTAAGTAATTTTCAAAAATGTAAAATACAGATCCCTTTTTAATATAAGTACAGAAAATAAGTTTTATGAAGATAAAAACTTGTCCGTGGCTCACCACTGCTTACCTCAGGACATAATATACTTTGAGCAGAGCAGATGCTGAAAATAGTTTTTCAGTGAAAAAGCTGAAATGATATGGTTCATGAGCTAATTTTTATGGACTGTATCATTATATATGTAGCGTGGTTATTATAACATTTAATGGAAAATTACATATTTAGTACCACTTGGCCTAAGAAATTTAAATGTAAATACTACTCTTGGCATAATCAGAATATACCTAGATTACCTTTAGGCATTATAAAATTCAGTGTAAGTCATGGTACTGAGAAAAAGAATGCCTGAATAAATAAAGTCAAACCTGTTATAACGAGCGAGATGTGGTTTAGAATATTAGGACATGCAACAATGTGATTACGAGATTCAAAGTTTTCACATTATTAACATTCAAAATATTAATGTTTTTAATAAAATTTGTGATACATACACATAAACAAGAGTATGGCCCATGCACAAGAAGAAAAAAAACTCTCTCTGAGGAAACCTAAAGGTTGGACTTACAAAATAAAGGCTATAAATAAACTGTTTTAAATATGCTCAAATACCTAAAGGAAAGAACTAAAGGGAAGCAGGATGACGATATCTCATAAATAAAGACTACTAGTAAAATGGTAGAAAAAAGAGCCAAACAAATTTTGGTTCTGCAAAATAAAATAAATAAAATGAAACATTCACTGGAGGTGTTTGCTAGTTTATCTGAGCATGCAGAGGAAAGAATCCTCAAAGCTAAAAATAATATAGTTGAGATTACATAATCTTAAAGAGCAGAAACCGAACAGGATGAAAAATTAGCAGAGGCTGAGACCTGGGAGACACCATGAAGGGTACCACCAACATCTGCATAACCAGAATCACAAAAGGAGAAGAGAGAAAAGAGGAAAAGATCAGAAGGTATTTGAAGAAAGAACTTCCCAGATTTGAAAAGTCATGAATCTACATATCCAAAAGGCTCAACTCCACTAGGACAAATCCAAGAAACTTACATAAACATTTTAAAAATAAAAATATCAAAAGTCAGAGACAAAAACAGAACCTAAAAATCAGGGCTGGGCAAACAGGCTGCATCTTAGGGGTGGAGCATTTGCCTGACATGTTTGAAGCTCTGAGTTCAATTCCCAGCACCATACGGAAAAAAAGGAAGTAGCAAGAAAGAAAAAGACGGCTGCATCAAAGAATTTCATAATATACAACTTGAAGAGCCAATTTCTTTTTTAGAAACTTAAAAGGTCAGAAGTCAGTGGGGGTAACTTAGGAAGTACTGAAAGCAAAAGTAAATGAATAAAAACTTGTCAACCAAGAATTGAGTGAGGTAAAACTAGCCTTCAAGAATGAGACACTGCTCATTTCCAAGTCCACATGTAATGAGCTTGGAAGTTACTACTACATCCTAACAAGTAAATGGCTGGAAAAAACAAACGATAAAAATCCACTCTTTATCCTTGCCAGAGGACAGAACATAGGGTAAACTTCTATCCCTAAGATCAGAGAAACAAAATGGGTAAATGCAGGAGCAATGGCTGACTGAAGCAAAAACTGAAAAATAGACCCCACACCCCCCACAAGGGAACATATGAAAGGGTTGGAAAACATCAGCTGTCAGCTTGAGACTCGGTGTGGACACTGAGGGAGACTCAGTCATCAGGGAAGAAACCCATAATATTGTGGGAATTATCTCCAGTGAGTTGAACAGATTCTCACAGCAAATATCAAAAAAATTCCCTTATGTTTGGAGCAGGGGAAGGAGAAAGAGACATTTGAAACTGACAAAGCACTCTGTTCCTTTGAGCAAGACCTAACCTCAGGAGAAACTAGTTCACCAGATCCTAAACTGTTTAAGTATTACCAGAGCCAAACTGGTCAGGGCCAAGGGAAATGTTCAGCTACAGCCCACTACATCCATACTAACCCAGCCAAGAGGGGAAACATTGAGAAACACTTGTGAAGTCTACAGCACAGAGCCACAGGCTTACTGAAAGACTAAGATTTAATTATAGGACTAGAGAATAGTTTCTCTCTTCCCACACTTTTCTATTACATGCCAAACACCTTTTCATAGTATTTCCTTCTATAATTACATCATGTCCAGCTACCACAAATGTTATAAGGTGTACTAAAGGCAAAACTGACAATTTAAAGATCCAGACTATCAGACTCCAACATGGCATGGATGTTGCAATTAACAGACTTGGAATTTAAAAACAAATATGACTGAAAAAGCTACAGGCTCTACTGAAAAAAGTATACAAAATGTAAGAACAGATGGGCAATGAAGGAAGACAGAAATCCTAATAAAGAATAAGAAATAAATGCAAAACATCAAGGACAGTATGACAAAAACAAAGAATTCCTTTGATGGCCTTTTTTTTGTATATGGGACTGGCTGAAGAGATAATCTCTGGGTTTGAAACTGTATCAATAAATTTCAAAAAGCAAAAAGCACAAATATTGAAAAAAATAAGCACAGAATATCCATGGACTGTATGACAACTATAAAAAGTAAATGAAATGCCAGTAGGAAAGTTGAAAAGAAAGGAACCAAAGAAACAACAAACAACAATGGTTGATAATTTGTCCAAATTAAGGGCAGGCACTATACCATAAATCTAGGAAGCTCAGAGAACAGCAAGCAGGATAAATGTAGGAAACCTGCACCTAAACATACCATTTTAAAATTAAATACAAAATAATGAAAAATTCTGAACTTCAATACATTATGGTCCAATAATTTTCATTGCTTTCTGCACATTGTCTTATGATGGCTAATTTATGCATCAAGTTGATTGAACTATGAAGTGTGCGTATTAAACACTGTTTCTGGTGTGTCTGTGAATGTATTTCCAGGTGAGACTAGTATCTGAGCCTGTGGACTCAGTCAAGTAGATAGCCTTCCCTCTGTGGACAGACATTATCTATATTAAGAGCCTGGGAAGAACAATAAGGTGGAGGAAGGGGGAAATGGGAAATTCCTTTTTCTTGATTATCTTCTTGACTTGACAAGGACATCAATCTTCTTATGTCTCTGGACTATAATTTATAACACTGACTCTCCTTATTCTCTGGCCTTTGACTCAAACTAGAATTAAATCTCTGGCCTTTCTGCATCCCCCAGCTGCAGACTGTAGACCATAGGTTTTCTTGGCCTCCATAATCATTTGAACTAAATCTTCATAATAAATTTTATTTCTCATAATATATATATCCTACTTGTAGCTTTTTTGGAGAATCCTAAGTAAAGTAAATTTTTATGTACATGATATTTATGTCCCTACCATCAATGTTAACTCTGTGAGTCAGGTGCTGTATTTCAAATACACAGCAGAAAGACAGTGTCTATTATTTGAAACCAAGGAAATCTTCCTCCTGCTGAGTCAGTTTTATTTTCTTGCTTTTCACATACACCAGGCTCATCCTCAGATAGCAGCAGACATCAATCCTTCCAGTAGAATATATCCCTCCAATAAAATAAAATATGGTATATATAAACCGTCTGCATCTGATCTTACTGATGGGTTAGATAGATACTGCACATGAGATAGCATCTAAAGGCTTGAAATAACACCTAAATGTGGTCTTACTGATGGGTTAGATAGATACTGCACATGAGATAGCATCTAAAGGCTTGAAATAACACCTAAATGTGGTTCTATTATCACCTGTATACTGTGCTATAGTAATTTTCATCACTTTCATTCCCTATCACATCAGTTTACATACATAGGCTATAGACAAAGTGGCAGCTAAATTTTAAAAGGAGCTTTCAAAGGTAAGCTTTGCTGAATCACAGGAAAAATTACACTCACCTTTATCAAAGAATGTGCTAATCATAAAGCTGAAGAATATTACAGAGATGGCATAAAACAGCAAAAAGATGAAGACAAGACTTGGGTCACTGTACTGGAAGATTGGTAGAGGTTCAACCTAGCAAAATAATCAGGAAGCCAATTTAATCATGCTGTAAGTGGTATCGTGACAAAACAAAGGAGGAGAAATAAAACTTCCTTGAACATTTTATTGTTTAGTGAAAATGAAGACACTGCTCAGTGAGATGCAAACTTCAGATCTTTTTCTAACAGAAGGTCCACCTATGTAGATTTAAAGTAGCTGAGACTAAGTAGCCAGTGTTTCTACAGTGGAGTCAACAAAAGCCACATTTTCATTATTCTGCAACCTAAGAGTTATTACAGTTATATCATATTTTTGTTTTACCTCTTAAAGTTTAGTTGTACCATGCTGTAGTGAAACATACACTTGCCTTGACAAACAAAATAATGCACATAAAGATGATGTTAAAAAGATAGAAAAAGAGGTATGTGATGAAATAGGCAGTCCAGAGCATCCAATTACTGAGTCCAATTATGAGCTGGAACTCCTGTGGGAGAGTTAACACAAATCAAATATGAAAAACACTATAATCACATGGCACCTTAAGTATTCAAACAAAATACATTATCACATTTTGTCTCATGTGTATAACCAAAATGGGTTGAATATTTTCTCCAGTGTGTAAAAGAAATTAAGGCTCAGAATATCAAATAACTAAATTGTTCAGCTAGTGACCCTTTATGAGGCCAGCTAGTGATCTTTATGAGGCCAGAGACCAGTGCCCCAGTAACTTACCTGGTACCATTAAGACTTGGAACACTCTTTTAAATGCTATAAACCACTTAAATAAATATCTCCTTCTTTGTTAGGTCTTCTTCAAGGAGGAATTAAAGAGGTATAAATTTATTTAGCTCCATTATAAGGTTAGAAGAAAGCACTAAAGTTAGTAGGAAAAGAGGAAGAAAAACAGATTTTTATCAATATTTAAGAATATTACTTTCTTGGAAAGTAGTTACTTATGGAGATATGTGGTATCTTGAAGTTTCACAAAGGAATTTTAAAAGGATATAATGTAGAATGCATGAGTAATAAAAAGATTAAAATGAATAACCTGAGAATTCAGACACTATTTTAAGTAAGAGTTTTACTGAATTTTATTATCAATATTAAGTTCTATGGCTTTAGGATCCTCAAGACTAGATATCTGTATCTGCCTGGCACATACAAAGTGTTTAACAAGAGTTTGCGGAATGAATGTTTAAATGTGTGAAAGAATGAATGAATATGAGGCTCTTGGAAAATCTGCATACTGTACTTTCCAAAATTCTTAAAAGTGAATAGAGGTCCACTTTATTGCCTGGAGAAGTGATGGCTTATAAGCTTTCTAGGGATCACTAGTAGAGCCAGACTTACTTAAGAAATTTTAATGAACAACTGAAATGACAAAGTATATTTAACAGAAGAAGTATGAGAGTTACAGAAAACTATAAAGCATGGTTCAATGAAATAAAAGGAAGTCTAAATAAGTGGAAATACACTCCATTTGTTAAATCAGAATTTTTAATATTATAAGACCTCTCAAATTGGTCAACACATTAAACAAACTCTTTTCAAAATCTCTGCTGGTTATTATACATAGAATGACAAATACATACTAAAACTCATGTGAACTTCACTCAGAATAGCCAGAATAATCTTGAAAATCAAAGTTGGAGGACATGACATTATCCAGCTTCAAAACATACTACAGTTACTTTGCTGAATAACAGATCACCTCCTGTTTAAGTGAAAGTGTACTTTTTGACCAGCATTCTCCTCATAGTCTCTGGAGACACCATTCTACCATTCTACTCTGCTTCTCTTCTATGAGTCCGACCACTTTCTTTTCTTTTTCTTTTCGCTTTTTATTTATTTAAGGCAGGGTCTCACTAAATTGTTATATTGCTTATGCTGGTCTTAAACTTTCAATTCTCTTGCCTCAGCCTTCTGGGGTACTGGGATTCTACATGTGTGTCACTGTGCTCATCTCTGAGTTTGACATGTTTACATTACATTATCTTTTAATTATAAGTAAAAATTTTTAAAAACTGCAAAGCTATGGTAATCAAAACAGTGTGCTTTTGGTATAAGGATAGACAAACAGATTAATAAGACAAAATAAGAGTCTGGAAATTAATCTAATATAAATGATTATTTCATTTTCAAAACAAAGAAACACACCCTGAAAAAGTACAGTATTGCTGGTTGTGGTGGTGCACAACAGCCTCTCACTGCTTGGGAGGCTGAGGCAGGATGACTGCAGCAAGTTCAAGGCCAACCTGGGCTACATAGTGAGCCCAAGGCCAGCCTGAACTACATACATAGTGAGACCTTGTCAAAAAAAAAAAAAAAAAGAAAAGTATTAAAAAAGCATTGTACTGTCATGAGGACATACAGAAAGAATGCTGGAACAGAATAGAGAGCCCAGAAGTAAACCTCTATTGTCAATGACCTATATAAATACCAAAAAAAAAAAAAAAAAAAAAAAAAACCCTCAACAGAGGAAAAAATACCCTTTTGAAGAAGTGGTGTGGGACAATTAGATACCCACATGCAAAACTGAAAAAAATTGAATCTGGGCCTTTATTTTACATAATAAAAAATTAACTCAATAATTACAATAGACCTAAATGTAAGAGCTAAAGCCATAATATTCTAAGAGGAAAAAAAGTAGGAATAAAAACCTCTGATCATGCATTGATATGAAATGATCAACTGGGTATTCTCCTTGCATGTTAACATAGTGAATTACATTGTTAAAATTTCTAATTTTTATCTAACCTTGATTTCCTAGGATAAAGTTCATCAGATCTTGATGTACTTAATCTTATATATCTACACACATTGTTGGATTTGCTATCATTGTTTGTGTTCATGCTCACAAGGGGTAGTAAGCTAAATATATATATATATATATATATATATATATATATATATATATATATATTTTGTCTTTTTCTTTTTTATTGGTACCAGGGATCGAACTCACAACTGCCTGCTTGCAAGGCAGGTGCTTATGCCGCTGACCTAAATGCCCAGCCCCGCTGAATATATTTTGTGTGGTTCTGTTTTCAGTGTACTGTCAGCCTCATAGAGTTAGGGTTTAATCCTATTTTCTTAGGTAGTTCACGTAGAAGCAGTACTATTTCTTTTGTAAATGTTTGGCAGTATTTCTGGCAAGGACACAGGTTTCTGCAGTGTTAGTGAAAAGAATTTTAAATATGAATTCAGTTCCTTTAATAAGTATAAGGCTATTCAGACTACATACATATTTCTGGTAGCTTTGCATTTAAAGAATTTTATCTACTTCATCTAACTTTGCAAAATTACTAGGATAATATATTAACAATATTTTGTAGGATCTGAATGTGTTTATGAGATATGTTCCCTTGATCAGTCTGCCAAGAGAATTACATCTTCATAAATCCATTATTAATTTTCATCATTGTTTTCTCTGTTTCAAGTTTTCCTCTTTCTTTTTCCTCTCCACCTCTTTTTATTTAAATTTCCCTTTATTTCTAGCTTCTTAAGCAAATTTTGAGGTCTTTGCTACTGTCTTCATTACTAAAAAAGTCATTAAAAGCTAAAATTTTACCTTGAATCTAAGCTTTAGTTGTACATGATCAACTATGGTAATTTATACTTTCACTAACATACAAGTTAAAGTATTTTCTAATTTTACCTTCTAATTTAAAGAATAAATTATTCTTTAATTATATATCATTGCTTAATTATCAAATAACTGGAGTTTTCCTAGATATTATTTTGTATTGAGTTCTAATTTTCATTCTAATAATACCAGAAACATACTTTGTAGTATCTGAGTTCCTTTATAAACTGAGATTTGTTTCATGTCTCACATATATATATAATCTACCATCATTTAATTTGTAAATATTGTTTTTTCTAGTTATATTGCTTTTTCATTTTCTAATTTAATTCTATTATGATAGAAAATATTGTATTATTTCAAGTGTATGGCATATCCACTGCACTTGAAAACAATACCTGCTCTACAATTACAGTATTCTACAAATATCATTTAGGTTAAAATGGTTGAGAATATTGTTGAGACTCATCTCAGAGCCAGTAACAGAAATAGGTTGAAGTAAAAAGATTAAAAATATATTAAATGAAAATAGCAACAAAAACAGCTGGAGTGTGTGTCTTAATATTACACAACATAAAATCCAGACAAAGACAAAATAAGAAAAAAGAATAACAGGCCAAAAATGGGGAAAGGAGTCCCGCTAGTGTATGGCACTGGGTAAACTGGCTATCCAGATGCATAAAATAAACCTGGAATCTTATCACACACATTTTATACAAGTGTCAGCCCCAAATGTGTATTCATGCTTTTTGCCCATTTTAAAATTTGGATTGTTCCCTTACTGGTATATATTTAGGATGCTAATGCCTTATCAGATGTACAGATTGTACTTATTTTCCCCAATGTATAGGTTCTCTCTTTACTCTGTTAATTGCTTCTTTTTCTTTACAGATTTTTAGTTGGCTCGTTTGTCTATTTTTGGTTTTGTTGTCTGAGCTATTAGGGTCAAATCCTAAAAACTGAATGCCCATGGCAATGTTATGTAGTTTTTCTTCTAACAGTTTTATAATTGTGGGTACCACATTTGAATCTGTAATCCATTCCACATCTGTGATTTTCTCAGTACAACGATGGCTGTTGTTCATCTAAATTGCATTTTGAATTCTATGGTACAACTATATCATTTGGGTTGTTTGAGATTTGGCTACTATTACTAGGCTTCCAGGAATGTTTTATGCTGAATACCAGGTTAAGCACATTTACCATTAGTAGCTCATGCTAAAGCTTTTCCAATAACATTGTACAAACTTTCACATCTACAAGAAATACATAAAAATAGTTTGCTCCATATTTTCACTAATACTTGGCATTGCCAGTCTTATCTAATTTGAGCATATCTAGTGAGTATATAATAGTGTCTCATTGTACTGGTTTCTCAGTTGCCAGTTTGTTTATTGGGAACTAAATTGCCTAGACAATTCTTGCCTGACCTATAATGTGGTGCTACTAGTGACAAAGGAAATCATGAAAAGGACGTGGTTAATGATTACAAAGAAGAGATAAAAATGGAGAAATGGCTGTTATTGATGTGATAGCTCAAGTTATTTGTATTTCTGGAGACTGAAGTCAGGCCCTTCCACAGAGAGGATACTAAGCTACATTCCCAAACATTTTTACTTTTATTTTGAGACAGGGTTTTTTTAAGTTGCTGAAGCTAATTTCAAACCAATCCTCCTACCTTAGCCTCCCAAGCAGGTGGGATTACAGGCATGTCCCACTGTGTTTAGTTTTCAACTTACATTTTATGGCTCATAGTTATTACTTATTGGCTCTATACTAAACACTCTACATGTATTTCCTCATCTATACCTTACAATGGTAGGTATGGGTGATTTGGAAAAGAAAAAAAATTCAGGTGACATCTCTTAATATCACAACAGCTCTAAAAATTAGGTATTATTAACTCTGAAAGTTAGGTAGTAGGTATTATTAAGCCAAAAAAGTTACAAGATATTCTAGAGTTAATGAGTAATACAGTCAAGATTCAAAACTAGAATGAGGCATGGTGGTACAAGACTGTAATCTCAGCACTTGGGAGGTTGTGGGAAGAGGATCACTGTGAGTTCGAGGTCAGCCTTCATTACAAATGAGTTAAAGGACAGCCTGAAGTACACAGCAAGACCTGTCTCAAAAAGATTCAAACCTGTTTTATCAGAATACCTGAAACACAGCAGGTAAATAAATAAATTCATCAATGATTATTTGGATGACAACTGACTTTTGAATGATGAAGCTTCTTGCCTAACAAAATATGCTCTGGATCAAGACTATAAGAGATAATGTAGAAAAAAATCAGAGATCAGAAATTGATTTAAAAAAATTAGAGAATCAGAGAATCTTGGAATCGAACTGTTTAAAATCAAGGTAGAATTCTAAGAGACCAGTTGATCATTTATTTCAGAGAGATTTTAGGATACTAGGCATTTAGATTCTACCCATAACAATCTTTGAAGCAGTTTTTTAATACCAAAAAATATCAAGAATTTCAGTAAAAACAGATTGTAGAGAATTGCCAAGAGATGTAAGTTCTTAGTATTTGGCTGCTATTGGAACATGTCATCTATCAGTTTGAGTGCATAGAAATAATCTAATCTTCCACATAAATTTGCCTTACAATTTCTGTATTTTCTATGGAAGCTCTATGTACCATAAGAAAAGCAGGGTTACCTTTAATTGATTTTCCTTTTCCCATACAATGGACTGAAGTAAGGTAAGATGATTCATGGAGAAGATACACGCAATTATTACAGGGATGAAAATAACAGCAATTTTACTGAATATATCAATATCATATACTGGGTATGGAAATCTCTGAACAAAAATGTTGACACTATTAAACAGTGTTTCTGCAGCAGTGCCACTATGATGCAGCATGATGGCCTTATCCAAGGCATGTTGTACAAGCAGGAACCCTTCACTGATGTATCCTGAGAAAATACAAAGATTGCTAAGTACAACAACCCAAAATAGCTGACATGAACAAAGAAAAAGGTAATTAAAGTAAGCCATGTCCCATATAATGCTTTAGTCAACAATGATAAAATTGTATCACCTAAGGACATAGCCATCACCATTTGAGCAAGTACACTCTATGATGCTTCCACTACGACAACAGAAAATACCTAACATATTTCTAAAACTTTATTCCCATGTTAAGCAATACATGACTGTATGTCAGAAGCAGGCTATACAGCGAATTATAACAAAGCTCTTCTCATAATCCAAATTTCATAAAGCTATCATAGTTTTACAGCACCAATATACAATAGTCTTTTCACCTGAAAATGAAGATAACTTTACTCCCTCCTTTCTAAATGTTACATAACATTTTTTCCTTCCATTAATTTTCGGGCCTCAAACTTGCAGTAATCTACTTGATTCAGCCCCACTAGAGCTTGGATTACAGGTATATGCCACCCCATGTGGCTAAAGTGTGTTTTAAAATAGATATTTTGTTTTAGAAAAATATTAATCTTACAGAAAAATTTAAAAGGTGGCAGAAAGGCTAGTTGTACACCATGCATTTTCAACAGCAAGCTATACTACTCCAAAGAAACCACAAGTACATGAATAGACCTATAGAATATATATATACGATATTAATATTTCACAAGGAGGAGGGACTATGTGAAAAAAATCCTAAGATTTTTAGCAGGGAAAAATTAAAAAAGCTCTTGTCACTTTATATCCTATGCAGTAACAATGTAATTTCAAAACCAAGGAACTAACATTATTAAACTAACATTAGCAATACTAATGATTTACACAAATTTTACTTGCATTTTATGTTTTCCACCCAATATTCTTGTTTCAGGATCTCATTTGTAATGCTGAATTACAGTTAGTTGTCAGGTCTCCATGATTTCTTCTGATCTATGCAAGTGTCTCATTCTTTCCTTGTTTTTCACCATCTTGAGAGCTATATTTTGTATGTTTCATAATCTAATTTTGCTGGATATTTTCTCACTAAAAGATTAGGGTTATGAGTTCAAGGAAGACTGTCTCCAAGGTAATTTGCCCTCTTCATCTAATTGTATCAAGGGATACTTGATATCAGCATTACATCATGATGATGTTAACTTTCATCATTTAGTTAAGGTGGTATATGTGCCACCTATTATTAAGTTGTCTTCTTTTCCATTTTCTACTCTTTGGAAAGAAGTCATTAAATATACCTGTACTCAGGAAAATGGAGTACCTACATGTTATCTGGGATTCCTTTGTATGGAATATTTGTGCCTTACTACTTGTTTATTCAATCATTTATTTATATTTATTAGAATCATTAAAATTTATTCTATACTTTGGGTTATAATCAATTTCTCTTTTGGTCTTTTCAATGTTCAATTTCTTCCAGCTTCTGCCACTGGGAACCCTTTCAGGCTCACTCCTGTGTTGTAAATACAAGAATGAAAACAATATGGATTTCAAAATAGATTAACAATGACCACAAGAAATTTAGAATTAGAAATTCTATAAGAAATTTAGAGAATAACAAATGCCCCTAATGCTGAAACTCTTTAAAGACATTGAAAGGGAAGCAGTACTCCCAAAGTCATTCTTGGAAGCAAGTATTACACTAATACGAAAACCAAAGAAAAACACAATCAAAAAAGAAAACTACAGGCCAGTCTACCTAATGAATACAGATGCAAAAATCCTCAATAAGATGCTGGCAAACAGAATGCAGCAAATCGTTAAGAAGATTATACACTGTGACCAAGTCGGATTCATCCCAGGGATGCATAGATGGTTCAACATACACAGATCAATAAATAAATATACACAACCAAAGACAAAAACCACATGATCATCTCAATAGATGCAGAAAAAGCATTTGACAAAGTTCAACACCCATTCATGATAAAAACCCAAGAGAAAATTGCAACAGACAGTCTTTATCTTAATCTGATAAAAGCCATCTATGACAGACTGACAGCCAACATCGTACTAAATGGTCAAAAACTCAAAACTATCTCTCTAAAATCAGTAACAAGATAAAGATCCACTATCAACACTCCTATTCAATATAGTTTTGGAGTCATTAGCCAGAGCAATTACACAATAGTAATACATAAAACAAATAAGAATAGGAAAGGAAGAAGTTAAATTATCATTTTTTGCTGATGATATGATACTCTACATAGAAGATCCTAAAAACACACCAAAAGACTTATAGATTAATTACCAAATTCAGTAGTATAGGTGGATACAAAGTCAACACTCAAAAATCAATAGCATTTCTATACACAAGGCACAAATTCACAGAGTAAGGAATTAGGGAAACTAGAACCTTTACAATAGCATCCAAAAACATGAAATACTTAGGAATCAATCTAACAGAAGTAAAAGATCTATACATTGAAAATAAGAGTACTATGAAAAAGGAGATTGAAAAACATATCAAGAAATGGAAAGATATTCCCTGCTCATGGATAGGAAGAACCAATAGAGTGAAAATAGCCCTACTTTCAAAACTATTATACATATTTAATGTAATTCCAATTGAAATACCATAAGCATAACTCACAGAAATAGAGAAAACATTCCTGAAATTCATTTGGAAACAAAAGAGACCTAGAATAGCAAAAGCAATCCTGGGCAACAAAGGTAAGTCAGGGGAAATCACAATATCTGATATTGAAATTATACTACAAAGCTATTGTGATAAAATCAGCATCATACAGGCAAAGAAAAAAGAAAAAAGAAAAAACCTAATGATCAGTGAAACAGACTAGAGATGTAGACACAACTCCAAACACACGCAAGTCACCTTCTCTTTGACAAAGGAGTCAAACATGTTCACTGGAAAAAAACAGTCTCTTTAATAAATGGGGATGGAAAAACTGGCTTACCACATGCAGAAGACTAAAACTAGACACATGAGTATCAATATGTACTAAAGTCAAAATAGATCAAAGATCTAAATGTTAAAACAGAAACACTGAATCACCTGAAAGAGAAAATAGGTAGTAATCTTGAAGACAGGAGTAGGCAGAGACTTCATGAAGAAAACCCAGACCACACAAGAAATACTACAAAAAAAATCAACAACTGGGGTTTCACTCTACTAAAAAGCTTTTGCACAACAAAAGTAATCACCAACACAGTGAAAAGACAACCCACGGAGTAGGAAAAAATTTTAGTCAATTGTTCCTCAGACGAAAGACTTCTATTTAGGACACATAAAGAATTAAAAAACATCAGACCCCCCAAATTCAAAGACATAATCCAAAAATGGGTATCTGAGATGATTACATACTTCTCACATGAAGCAATACAAATGGCAAATAAATATATGAAAAATGTTCAACATCAGTGGTCATTTGAGAAATGCAAATTAAAACAATACTGAGATTCCACCTCACTCCAGAAAGAATGACTATCATCAAGAATTCAACCTATAACAAATGCTGGTGGGACTGTGAGGAAAAAAGAATCCTTCTCCACTGTTAGTGGAAGTGTACATTGGTGCAACCACAGTGGAAATCAGTGTGGAGGTTCCTAAAAAACTAGGATTTGAGGTTCCATTCCACTCAGCTATTCTTTTCTATCTTCTCTGAAGAATTGAAATCATCATACCACAGCAATATGTGTGCACCCATACTTATAGTAGCACAACTTGTAATACTTACATTTTGGGTTTTTTAAATTTTAAAAAAGAATAAAACAAAAGAGAACAGAACAAAGTAAACCAGAACAAAACAATGCAAGCAACAACAGGATATCAACAGTAGCTACCATAATGTCTCTTTTCTTTGAAATAGTTGAGCATACCTTCACATACAATAATATCAAACATAACAAAATAGTATAAAACCATTCAAGAGAATGAAAGTATTACAGGACATTCAAAACCAAATAACCAATTATGAACAATGGCTACTATAATTTCTCATTTTCCTTAAAAAGTTTGTTTATACTATCACACATATTAAAATTCATTAAGACACAATATGGTAGAACCAATGGAAACAGAAGAACAAAAGCATGGTAGGACTTCAAAGAAAGATGATATTAAATCAGCAATGGCTGCCATAATGTTTTATTTAAAGTAGCTGTTCATACCATCACACATAATAAAATGAAACAAAACAAAATAAAGCCATTCCAACCAATGAATGAAAACATTACAAGACTTCAAAGCAATGTAACGGGACCAATGATTACCGTAAAATCTTATGTACTCTTACCATTTCTTACACTAGGGAGACTATACAATATTTATACAGGAGTTTGATTTTTTTCACTTACGAGTATGGTCTCAAGTTGAGTCCATTTATCTATAAATATCTCAATGTGGGGGCCAGGGGTTTAGCTCAGTGGCATAGGTTCCTGCTTGGTAAATGTGAGGTTGTAAATTCAATCCCAGGCACACACACACACAAAATCTCAATGTGATCATTCTTTATAGCTGAGTGGTACTCCACTGTATAAAAATACCACATCTTTTTTATCCATTCCTCAGTTGATGGACCCTTAGGTTGTTTCCAAGGTCTGGCTATTACAAATTGTGCTGCTATAAACATGGATGCACATATATCACTGTGGTGTGATGTTTTCAGTTCTTCTGGGAATATGCCTAGAAGTGGAATATCTAGAACAAATGGGACTTCCAATCCCAGCTTTTTGAGGAATCTCTACACTGATTTTCATAGTGATTGTACCAGTCTATACTCCCACCAGCATTGCATTAGAGTTTCTTTTTCCCCATAGCCTCTCCAGCTTTTGTTTTTGGTAGTTTTCTTTACCCTGGCTATTCTTTCTGGAGATGGAATCTTAGTGTAGTTTTAATGTGCATTTCTCCAATGACTAATGATGCTGAACAGTTTTTCATATATTTATTTGCCATTTAATACCTAAATTTTGGAAACAACCCAAGTACCCATCAACAGAGGAATGGATAAAAAAGATGTGGTTTTTTATA